TCCCAAATCCCTCCCAGACTCTGCCATCAGCCATGGCCAAAAAGCCACAGTGCTTCAGGAAGAAAACTCAATGCTCCTTCCTTGGCTGAATAGCCTTGGGCTGGATCTGGCTGAGGGCAAAATTATCAGGGCTGCAAAGGTGCAACGAGTCAGAGTCCACTGGTGACACTGGCTGGTGTGAGAAGGGACAGAGAGAGCAGAGCAGCTGCCACCCAGCATGTGCACATGGATGTGAATGCTCAGTGTAAGAGCTAGCCCTTACCTCTCAGTTATCCCCACATTATAAACTGGTCACAGACACAAAGCATCAGACCCACAGGTATGTGCCTACAGCTCCTGAACGTGCATAGTCCTGGCACTGTGTCCTGGTGTAGGCAAGCAGCTATGTTCCCCTTCCCACTCCACTCATGCCCAGCTAGACCCAGTCAATTAGGATTTACTGCCTGGGAAGTCATTCAGTTGTTATCAAGAAACACAAAAAAAGAGATGTTTTGCATGTGAGGAAACCAGTAGCAGGAACATAGATTATCATCCTAAATAATCCAAGATAAATATTCAAGACAAGCATCAGGCAAAGAAGTTGTCTGCCTCCCTGGCATTCATCCTGGGTACTGGCCGAGAAATTTGCCTCAGCCTCAGCAAATTCTGTATTGCAACTTTTCTCTGATCCCCTTTCTCTTCTATTCTTACCCTGCTCTGCTCTCCTAAAATTTGTAAAAAATATTGCACAGTGCCTTTTTACTATCTTCTGTTTACTTTTGGCAGTGGCAGAGGTTAAGCCAGGCTACTTTAGCAGTTTTTAAAAAATAAACCAAAGTCTATGAGCATGCATTCTTCTGACTGTGATGACAAAATGCTTTAATTTCTTCCAACCCTCGAACAAAACCCGGAAGGCTCACTAATTAAACAGCTCTGCCCCAAACTGATTCTTCTTACAGCAATGCTTCCCTCGGGTGAACTCCACCACCAAGGTCGTTACAAATTAGAAATGATACTTTATTAGTTAAACAATTCATGCCTGACATCCACTGCAATATTTAAAGAGTGCTTGGAGCCTAAAAGTGGCTTGGATGATAGCAGAGAGTCACTTGTTCCTACTGTTGCATCCTAAAATACTGCAGGCATTTCTGTCCCCCCACTTCTGAGCAGAAGGACCCAAACTAGTTTCACTTCATGGAAATAAATACAGCTTGGGGCAAGGGGGGTCTCTCTGTCCTGCCCCAGAGACTTCAGTGTGTGGGGGTAGGGGGATATCCAGGACTCAAATCCCCATGGCACAGACACATGGACACCCACTGTGTTTGACATCTCTTGTACACAGGACCCTGTGCCCTCTGCGTGCCCTTGACACAGTGCCTGATGGGTGGCAGAGACCCTCTCCCCAGCTTCTTTTCAAAAAGAAATGCACCTTTTCCCATGAGCCACTATGAGTTTAGGATGTCAAAACTCACGAGAAATTTTAGACCTTTTTTTAAGATTTTACTATGTCTCTTGGTGAAAGTCAGTTCTGTAAACACCACCTGAGTGCTTTTGAGAAGTTCCCCCCTTGGTGTATTTGTTCTGCCAAGTGTTCATAAATGAGACTGTGCTAATGTAGCTGACAGCAAAACTCAGACTATTAAATAACACTTCTCAAAGATCCTCAAGTGTTTTACAAACATGAATTAATTGAGCTGCAGGCCAACCCCGCAAATTATTTAAAGAGATCTTGAAACTTCCTTCCTTGCTCAAGGACGTGAAGAGAGGAAGGGAGGACCAAGGTCTGATGAGAACCAAAGCATCCTTATTATCCCCATTTACACTTATCCACCACACCAGCTCAAACTGACAGCCAAAACCCAATAAACTCAGAATGGCTGGAATTTTACCAGGATGACATTAATTCATCACTTTTTGTAAGCTCTGTCCTGCAAGCCCAGCAATAGCTAAGGAATCTGCAGAACATGGAGGAGACAGAACTGTGTCTATTTTCAGGGGAAGTTTGGGGTTTGGAATGATGTGACTATTAAGACTTCTCCCAAAACAGTTTGATTTGTCTGCAAGTTTTACTTGTCAAAAGCAACTGTCCCAGCTGTTTGAGAAGGCAACCCCCATGGCATCAGTGTGAAACAGAGGGGTAGTGGGACCTGGATGAATCTCTGACTACCCTGTCCCTTTGGCATCCTGGGTTCTGCCAGAACTCAGCAAAAGGCACCTTTCTATTGCCAAAGGAGCTGACAGAGCAAGACCAGGCAGCTGAACTCACAGATGGCCCCAGCCTTCAGAAGCACTTGCTGTGGCTAGTCCACTTTGTTGTCAGGCAGTTTTTCCCACTGGGCTCTGTGGGGACCAAGTGGCAAAGAGAACAGCCTGGGATACCCAGGTACTGAGCCAGCCATGGACAGGCTTTTCTATATGCAAGGAGGCAGCTGGGATGTCAGGATTCCTCTGCACAATTTTGGACCCTCTTAACTTACAAAAAGCCCTGGAAATTCTGTGACTGTCAACTCCAGCCTGGGGAATCCCAGAAAAGAGGGAAAAGTTGAGTCATTTTACAAAGGAAAGATGGTTGCACAGGGTAAGGATGTAAAGAGTACACTGAGTTAATCTTTGGAAGAACCTGGATCAATACTCTGGAAATACATCTGACTTCCTACTGTGAGATGATACTCTTTCAAACACAGCTGGAGGCTTGCTGCTAAGGACACAAAGGCTGGCGTTGGCAAAGGAAGGAGATAGACAGGAGTGCACATTGGATGGCACAGCCTGTTCTGACAGAGCTTGACGTCCCTATGCTAAAACATTCTCTTCCATCAGCTAAGTCTCCTCACCACTTGCTCATTTATGGCACTGAGCAGGCTAGGCTAGATCCATCACTTTGCCACCACACTGCATGTCATCTGATTTAAATCCTTGTATCTGTCAGGCTGGCTGCAGTCAAAAACCCCCATACATATCCAGTTGTGCCTGAACAACCCCTCTTTCCTCTCCACATGTGTGGGAAAGTTTTAGCTCAGTGTTCAGTGTCCCTTCAAACCTAACCAGGCTAGCAGAAGACAGATAGTTTAATAACATCAGAGCAACAGAGTCCATTTCCATCCCATTTATAAGTTGCATGGGATGTAGTTACATGTTGGTTAGCGGTCAGCAGTAAGCATCAGAGTTACTCCTAAACTCACAGTTTAGATTGCTTTGTCAACAACATGCAATTTGCCTATAAAGAAGGTCAGCAAAGAAAAATTACAACATCCATAACTGCATGGAGGGCTGTTTCTGGTCACCAGAAGCAGAGGGAGACATTTGAATTCACACCTGAAAGATGGGATGCCATCCAGAGGGACACAGTCAAGCTTGAGGAGTGGGTCCATGCAAGCATCATAAAACTCAAGGCCAAGTGCTGGTGCTGTACCTGGGCTGGAACAACCCCAACAGGCTGGGCATGAGCAGACCCAGAGCAGCCCTGCCCAGAAGGGCTTGGGGGTGCTGTGGGTGAGAGGCTGCACATGGCCCGGCCATGGCACTCACAGCCCAGAGAGCCAAACGTGTCCTGGGCTGCATCCAGAGCCCCGTGGGCAGCAGGGGAGGGAGGGGATTCTGCCCCTCTGCTCTGTTCTGCTGAGAGTTCTCAGGAGTTCTGAGCAACCTGATCTAGTGGAAGGTGACTCTGCCCAGGGCAGGGGTTTGGAACTAGATGGTCTTCTAGTCTCTCCCAGCCCAAACTATTCTATGACTCTGGCCCACAGTGTAGTATTGCTGGGTGCTGATCAGTCCGCAGCTGCAATGCAGAGGAGAGCAGCCACATTTATGTGTACGTGACTCTCCACTGCTTAAGTCCATGTGCAGGCAGGGTCCATGGCAGACACTGTGCTCACCCATGCCGAGGAAGGACTCATAAATTACCAAGGAAACTTATCTTGAGCCAACTTAATGACAACCCAGAAAACTTTGACAGTCTCAGTCTGAAGTATTGCAGGACATAGAAAAGTGTGAAGCGTATGAGAGACACTTCTCCACAGCTTCCACAACTCAGACCCAAACAAAATGCCACATTACTGTTTTCTATGCCCTCTCTGCACAGGGAAGATTCACATTTCCAATGGCAGACAGCTACAGGACCTTTTAAAAATCATTCAGAGGACTCTGAAGTGACACTAGTGTGATTAGTTCCTGGCTAAAGACCCCGCCTAATACAGCAGATTAGTAGAGTATATAAAACATTTGGAGTACATAAATAAAAGATGATCATCTTGAGAGATTGCTTTCTTGGATCAGTTCTAAAAAGCCTGAAACTGAAAGACACCACTTAACACAAGACAACTGGATATGTGAACTACAAGGGCATAAAAGGCCATTGCATTTACAGTCATTCAACTCATAGCTGGATGAAAACCAGAGAGCATATCCAGTAATAGATCCACATAAGAGATGTTATCATCCTTCACAATTGGCCCTCATGAATGGGTGAAAAAAAAATTCACCAACCCACAGAGGCACATGTATCTCCTTGCTGTCACTCGAGACAAGGACCCCAAGTCTCCTTACATGTGAGATACTGTTTGCTCATTTACAGGAAAGTTGACATGGTGGTCAAGGGACAGGCTCTGATGCAGGAGCAAAAGAAAACAGGTAGCATGGTTTGTGTGGGAGGACTTGGGCAAGAGCTGGGTTCTCCTTTACTTGATTTCAAGGAGTTTTGCAAATAAAACCCAAAACTCAGCAAATACATGAACTTTGGGAAACAACATCTGCAGAGCTTGTCTGAACCATGGGAATATTGGGGACAGCAAACCCCCTTCCCACCACTCCCCACTCCTTACCAGAAGCAAACTCAGTCCTCTTGCTCAAACAGGAACAGACAGAAGGATTTAACATCTCAGACATCCTACCCAAAAGGCTTCAGGTAATTGTAAGTACCTTGCTAGAGAGAGGAGCTTTGCCAACACCATTGCGTGGAAGGAGATGGGACAGTGACAAGGTCTGAAGAGATCTTCTGTGGCTGGGAGAATGCAGCTTATCCTTACCTTGGGCATCTTGCGCAGATTGGGAGAGAGCTTCAAGCAGGTGATGAGGCCTCGTTCATCTCCAACAATGATAATAGGATCGACAGGATTAAATTGGACGTGTGTTGTTTTATTTTTCTTCCTGGACACCACTAGCTGGCTGCAGAGAGGTTCAAGCTTATTAATGTTCAGATCAAACACATGGGCCTGGGAAAAAAAAAGAAAAAACAAAGAACGCAAAAGGGATTAATTAGGCAAGAAGATTTCTCACTGACAGAACGATGGCTGGAGAAATCAGAACGAAAAAAATCATTCCAACCACAGCACACAGTTGCCATCTGTGCTCAGGGCTGTGGTCTTCTTTTAAGTAACCAGTGTGCAGAAGTCAGGTGCTGTTTGTGAGAACTGCCCCTCTCCTGCAGGGGCTCACGGACAAGGACCACTTCCCTGCTGTGGGTGCAAGCCTTGGCAAGGCTCCAGCTGATATGGGCTGGAGAAGGCTCAGAGCCAGCACTGCTAACCCCACAGACCTTAATATCCCTTCTCAGTGTGAGTAATGAGACAAACAGGCATTAAATCAGAGTCTAACACAGATTGATGCCCAGAATGGGGAATGCTGTCAGAAATTCTGATTACTGCTTATTATAGAACTCCCTAACATTTTCAGCTTAATAATAAAAACAATAAAGACACAAACCAGTAAGTAATGGGGAAGTGATGAGAACAGCCATAGTATAATTAGAGTGTACCCTGGGGTAATGCCAGAGAAGAACAGGACAGCTTGGCAGCTCACTCCAGCCCAGACACTACACCTGCACATATGTCCTTCTTCCATGGCATCAGGAAAAGTGCCAGAAAATTAGCTAAACAGGAAAGGTGAGGGTGGAGGGAGAGAGGCCAAGGGTCCACTCAGGTAGGAGTCCCACTGGCATGGACTTCAGACCTCTGGCACAGTGACACAGACCTGCCACAGCCCCAGCTGCAAAACAACGCACATTTAATTGTGCAGAGGAAAGAGTGGCAGTTACTCAAGAGAATGAATTAACTTAATATTATCTCCCAATAATTGCAATTAGCTCCAGTTGTTAATACAGACTGCAAAGGCTAATAAAACATGATGTGCCTCTCTTGCCCAGGGCTGAGGTCAGCCATTTCCAGCATCCTGAATTTCCACCTGATATTCACCATTAAGTTCTTCAGCCTTATGTTTCTCTTCCCTTTTCTGTCTTCAGAGAAACTAGGAAGGGAATGCTTTATGCTAACAAGTACAGTGGGAATATAGAGGAAATTAGAATTGAACTACTTGTAAACCTCCTTCCAGCTGTGGCTTGTTTACCAGCACTTAAGAGACAAAGGAAACATGTAATTTCAACAGTATGCCATGTTGACAATTTGCATCTAGGAATTATCTGAAATCAGACAATGCTACTCTATAAAAGCGTATTCCGAAGAGTGTGGAAGGTAACAAATCACTACATGTACTTTCCCATTATGCACCAATGAGTCAATGAATTTTATCTAAATCCATTTATAGCATAGAGCTGGGCCATGTGCAAGCACATGTCCCAGGCAGTCTCATGAGCTGCTGTGTCTTCACAGAACTGAGAGTCTAGGAATTTGTGATGACCTTGGTCTGAGCAGGAGAACAAAGGTCTTACAGATGCAAAAAATAAGAAAAGGAACACTGCCTCCAGACTGAAGTGAAATAAAATGGGAAAGTGCTTGAAAAGTGGATAGGGCTGTCAAGACACATTTTGAAGAAATACATGACAGTACAATTCAAGAAGGGAATACAAAGCATCAGCCATATAAAGGATTTGTATTTTGGAGAGCCCTTCCCCAGGTAGCAGAAACATAGGTGAAAGCACAGCAGCATTTTTATCTGTTCAAATTACTAGATGCCAGAATTACATTGTGAATTTTGACTTAACACTTGAGATCTCAAAGTCCAACAAAGGTAACTTCAATTTCCTGCCTCTCAACATAAATCAAGGTGTCTCTTCTGGCTTGTATTTTACACCTGCTGTCTTACTTTCTCAGAAAAGAAACAAGCACTCTTTCAAGCATATCAGTACCCCATGAGCCACACTCATAAAAGATCTGATTTCTTGCCTTCATAGAATACATTCGTATTAATTTAGTAAACTAAGAGCCTGGAAAATGCTCACTGGTTGAGTAGAACCATTTAATGTAGGAAAAAAAAAAAAGTGACAGGGAAATAGCGGCCAGGTTTCTTCTTGGCAGCCAGGCCTGCACTGCTCTCTGTAGGGCTGTCAATGTATCCTCCACACACATCCTACCCAGCCCTGCACTGGAGAAGGATGGCATGGCCAAAGGCTCAGTGCTGGAGTGCTGAGCAATTTAAATTACTCTGGGTGAGGCTGTTTCTCAAAAATGTCACGAACAGCCCAGACAAGCACAATGCCTGGGACAAGAACTTGAAACCACCAGCAATGTGGAGAAGGTCAAAAGCAAACAAGTTTATGAATGTTCCTGCTATAAAGCTCCTCTTTTATGAGCTTCTAAACAAATGGGCTTGTTTTCCTTTGCCAAGTGAATCGTGGAAAAGTACAAACTATTTCAGTTCTTCAGCTGGAAACATCAGCCTCCTATCAGCTGTCAGACACACCAGATGGAGGGGTGGGTCACGGGCACTGAGAAGGACTTCAGAGGCCTTGATTTAGAGACTCGCAGTTACTCTTAGGAGAAAGGGAAACGAGGTCAGAGCAACACTGGTTTTGATGCTTTGGGAGTAGCCTAAAAGAAGCACAGGGCTTCCCACAACTTGAGGCAGGTTAATAGTGCTTTAATAGTTAATAGTGCACAGCAGCAGAGTTACATGTGGCCAGCGCCATCTGTAGAGCTGCCAAGGGCTTTTTGCCCAAAGAATGGAGACTGAAAACCTGCAGCTCTCCTTGTGACTCTTAGTCTCTTGAGTCCCCTAGTCACAGAGTCCCTAGACCCCTGCTCTGCTCACTCTGGTCCTGAAATTAAGAATTATGGAGTGGAATCCAGCTGAATCTCCCATCACAGAGAATCACCAACAACACACAGTTTTCTCTTCATCCCACTGCCATGGTACCCTCTGCCCCAAGACCACTGCTTGCACCCAGGGATGGCCTCTCAGGTCTTGCCAGATGAGCCCTCTCAAAGTCTATGACCTAGAGAAGAGCAACCATGACCCACACAAGTGCTACCCAACCCAATGTGTGACTCAAAGTATCAAATTCATGGGGAGCCAGGATGACCAGAGCCAGAACCACGTCCAAACCCTCCTTCATGGAGCACAGGCTCCAGAGCAGGCACCCATCCAGCAGCACCCAGACAAGAACTGATACACAGACACTGCCAGGCAGCTGGTACAAAAGGGCATTTTTATAAAATGTTACTTGTGTCCTTATTCTTTCAGAGTTTACAAACTAGTGAGAGTCCTTTTCTGCCAGCTCTGCATGCCTCTTCTCATGCTGTCAAAGCTGGTTCCTCACTGCAGGTGCTGAGACCTGGGGCCTTCACATTTGTTCACTCACAATCATCCAGGAGCACTTTAGAATCTAAAGAGTGAAGGTTTCCAACCTCTGGTTTTCAAATATGTTTCCATTTGGTATACATCAGCAGGGAAGGAAGCAAAAGCCTCCTGACAAACTAATTTCAACACCTTCTGCAGATTACGTAGAAATGAGTGAGGAATCTGGAGCGCCTGCTGCTTTCATACCAAAGTAGACACCCTATTTTTTTTCTGCTAATAAGCTAAAAAAACAATAAGTAAGGGCATTTCAGTTCTCTTTTATGGAGTACTTAGGAACAATATGTGGTCACTTGCTTAAAGGAACATAAATCAGACTCCAAGAACAAGAAACAAGGAAAAAGACACAAAGAGAGACGTAAAAGAAATCTGAAAATGTCTGAAATAGGAAAGTGGAAGAATTCCCTTCTGTTTCACCCAAAACTACAGGAGAATAAAACTCTGGATAGTAACCAATTCTTTGACAGCAATTTTATTTACAATCCTTGTAAACCTCTGTGCCTGCTCCAAGAAAGTGCAGGAGCATCTTCCAAATGCAGCTGAAGCTGCTGAGTTAAGCAGCTCCTTGCAGCATGGGTGTGGGAACTCAAAATGTCTTTCAGACATTTTTAGAAGTTCCAGGCCTTGGTCAGAGGCATTCTAGACCCTGGCAGACAGCTGAAAAACAGCTGTGATTTTGAGTTTGAGCCATGGAATGAATTGCCAACTTTGGAGGTGGAACAAGCAGTCACAAAAGGTTAGATAGTATAGTAAAAGTAGTTAACAAACTAGAGGGGAAATTTTTTTTGTAGTGTACAGGGGGGTTTTAACACATGTACAGGGGGGTTTTCACTTTGTACATGGGGGTCAGAAGTTCTAAGATGGAGGAAAGTGGGCTGATCCTATTCTTCCTCCTTCTTTTTCCTTACCTCCATGTTCTTGGTGATGTTGGCACTCACAGATTGGTTTAGAGTAGAAAAACACTTGGCAACGTAGGTAGTAGGTATTGGGGAATAATTGTAAACATGTTATACGTAATATATCTTATAAAAGATAGCAGCAGCCCTGGGCGGGGAGAGAGACGAAGAAGACAGCAGATAGAGAGGATGTCAGGGTGTGTGTGTGCCTCTACCCAGGCCACTGATCAAATAGCTGCAGTCCAAGAACATAATCTGTTAGATAACTAGCAATAAACTGCCTTGAGACCGAACAGCTAAAGCCTGCAGAGTTTTTCTTTGGAAGCACAGGTTGGAGGAGGAATTTCACCACCATATGAGACCCCAGAGCAAGGCCGGGGTTCTCACACATGGGGATTTATAAGCTGGTACCAACCACAATCAAAAGAAACCTAGACCCACAGTACTGAAGTGCTGGACAAGCTGGTAGTAGATAAGCCAGGCAGATGTTCAAAGCAAATTTCTTGATGGAAGGGCAGCAATTCTGCTAAGTCTGTGAAAACAAGCACTGAGACCATTTTTCTCTGAGGTGGGACCAAGTGAATTCTGCAATTTCTGATGCTTTTTATCCAATTAGAATAATTTTAAACTGCAATCACAGTAATAACAGAGTTTCTCTTCACACTTTACATACAGGCAATAATGGATCTAAGTCTATTGCGTCACCATTGCAGAAAAAGTTTGACATAAATGAGCTGCTTTGATGCTTGGCTTCCATACAGCCAGAGAAGAAATCCAGCTCAGTCTTA